AAGATTATTTAAATAATGTATCAATATAAATTTTTTAAAAATTGAGCCTTATGACTGGTTTTGTGGTCCAGGGTCGCAAATAACTAATGATTACATTGTAAGTCTGGAGCTTCAAGTCTAGTCATAGTTTTTTTATTCTTGCTGTTTGGATCTAAACGTCAAACACTTGATTTCAGTACATGAACGGGCCGCCGCTGGGAGAGGAGCAACCACCGTTACCTAAAGATTACCTGGTTGAGTCTCTGCTGGTGACCATCTTCTGCTGCCTCATGAGCGGCCTCGTCGCTGTCATGTACTCGTATGAAGTGAGCACCTGAAACACAGTGCATTAGTACAAATACACGTGCATTAGAGTGACACTGATTAATGATGAGCTCTGACCTCTCTACAGACCCGTGCTGCGCTGACCAGGGGTGACATCCGTGAAGCAGAGAAAACATCCCAGAAGGCTCGTCTGCTTGTCATGTTCAGTTTGATGTTCGGCATATTTGTTTCTGTGGGCTGGATTATTTATGTAGTGATAGTGCTCTGTGCATAGAAACTTTCCCATGCTAACCAAGGCTGAATTTATTTGATCAAAAAATTCTGTAAAAACAGTTAAATATTATTACAATTTAAAGTAACTGTTTTCAATTTGAATATATTGTCAAATGTAATTTATTTCTGTGATCAAAGCTGAATATTAAGCATCATTCCTCCAGTCTTCAGTGTCACATGATCTTCAGAAATCATTCTAATATGCTGATTTGCTGCTCAACAAACATTTCTGATTATTATTCAGGTTGAAAACAGTTGTGCTGTTTTCCAATATTTTTGTGGAAACTGATACATTTTATGATACTTTTGATGAATAGAAAGTTGAAAATAACACCATTTATTTGAAATAGAAATCTTTCAACATTATAAATGTCTTCACTGTCACTTTTGATCAATTTAATGCATCCCTGCTAAAAAAAAAATTTAATTTGTCAAAAAATGTACTCTTACTCACCCCAAACCTTTAAAGGGGTCATATGATGTTGCTAAAAATAACATTATTTTGTGTACTTGGTGTAATGAAATGTGTTTATGCGGTGTAAAGTAAAAAAAAAAAAAGTACATTATTTTCCACATACTGTACATTATAGTTTCTCCTCTATGCCCCACCTTTCTGAAACGCATTGATTTTGAGAAAGCGCATCGGTCTGAAAAGCGAGGTGTGCTGTGATTGGCCAGCTATCCAGTGCATTATGATTGGCCGAATACCTCAAGCGTGTGACGGAAATGTTACACCCCTCACCATACTGTGATGCCCTGTCCGGCCGGAGCGACGAGACAAAACCATTAAAACCCATTATAAACGAGGCATTTGTTGCATCCAGTGGGGACATAATTACGGATTATAATAAACCATGTCTGCATTTGTGATCGGAGAAACGACAAACAAGCGCTAATCTACACTGCTAAAAACTCACGTTTGAATCATCAGTGGCAAATTCTTACAGTCTATGAGTCAGAAGCGCCGGCATTGTTGTCTACTCTCCCAGGATCAGGAAACAGTCCTCCATAAAATGCGCTGCACACATCTGAATATTTGGGTTGAACTGTTCTGGAACAGTGTTGTAAATACAACTTAACCACTGATTTCTAGTCGTGTCCTCTTTTGGAAGACCAAACAAAGTAGTTTCGCTTTCACAAAGAAACACACAGCGCCTTCACGACATGGCGGCAGCAACAATACTACAGCGAGAATAAAAGTTACGCCTTCTTTCTTTTCATGAACATTTGGGCTGAGTTATGCAAATCTTCCCACATAGTGACGTAGACATGTGGGGAGGTGTGTTTAAACGAGCCGTTTTAGGAGGGTGTGGACGAGTCTTAACTTTTATAAAGAATATCTCTTTGGGTTTGAGACTTTAGCCTTTGCAACTTTAGGGATCTTATCTATTCACGAACAGCTTGTAACA